GGATGAAAACTATGGTCCTTTAGAATCCGTTGGACAGTACGTCGACTAACACCACACACAGTCTCCAATTTGCGGGTACTTAACGTAGGATCTACATAAACTTGCCCTAAAACCCCCACTTCTATTGCTTCGTTCCTTATGGGATTTTCAATGTTGCGCTTTTTATTGGCGACTAACCCAGTTTCCCGAAATTTAGCTACAAGTTCTAGTACATATTTTCGGTGCACGTTACTGTTCTCATGTCGCTCATTAAATATTTCTTCTATTAGCGCACTGATTATTTCCGAAAAATATTTCGATAATTTCAACTCTTTCTGCTGTGGAATATACCATGGTTAATTTATGTAATAAAGCGTTACAAGTTATTTTAGCAACAAATTTTGGTCAAATCAATCGCAAACTATGTACTAAATTCCTAGTTAAAATAAGTACGAGATATTTCCTTATCTTTCTTCACAAAATAACTTTTTTGCCACAAAAAACGCTCCAATAGCTATTTTCAACAACAAAATGATAAACAAACCATGGGTGTAGTAAAGAAAAGCCTTTACTTATTAAGTAAATTCTTTTAGTCAAATTTCTTCTGAAAGTAGTACAAACTAATCTGATGTATCTCTTAAAGTCTACTTTAAGCTTTAAATCAATAAATCTTCAAAACTACTGAACTGAAGTGCATTAATTTTATATCGTTATAAAGGGAATTAAAAGACCTTTAAAATAAGGTATCACTCGACCCCCCTTTCCATTTAAGATGTTGGGGGTGGTGTCGCCCCCGCTCAGGGGGCTGCACGTGTTAACGTTATTTTTTGCCAAACTTATGTCCTCCTCGAAAACAAAATCGACGGGTCTGAGCGTTTTTCCAAAAAAAAACTGAGCTGCCAGTAAATGCGCGTGTTTCGTTTTCGATGCGCCACCCTGTATAACAATAAAGACAATAATTCAAATCGTTCTATCTCGTCATTCAACAACTTTATTGACATTCTAAGGTAGTTAAATAATACAGGGTGTCCGCAAAGTTGGGGTTTTCCTTTACACGACGTGTAGATCTTGAAAACATATGCAATTTTTTTTAGTACCATATACACCAATGTCTTAAGGGAACCGAGATAAAAGGCTCTGCAACATCAAAAATATCTGAATACCGTCCTGTAGCCGCGACTCGCGACATCCCCGAGTGGTACTACGACACTAGCTCAACCCGACGACAGAACTGGGTCGGGGTCACTGTGTCAGGTCAGTATGCAACATTCAACCGACGGTTACGGTCGCGCGTGTAGAGGTAAACGAACCCGTATAATCGATTGCGTTTCAAAAAACAACAAGCACCAGAGACGTGGATAGAGAACTGCAAGTATCAAAAACTAAAGTGTGGCAAACGCTGCGTGAAGAGGGGCTGTATCCGTTTCACGTCCAACGTGTACAAGCCCTTCAACGTGACGATTTTCCAGCAAGAGTGCGGTTTTGGGAGTGGTTGTTGCATCAACATGACAATAATCCGGACTTTTTGAAGCGCATATTGGTGACAGACGAATCTACGTTCACGCGTAATGGGGTGAATAACTTTCGCAACACTCATGTTTGGTCAGTAGAAAATCCGCACGCTGTCCGTCGGGCACATTTTCAACAAACATTTTCGGTGAATGTTTGGGCTGGCATGGTGAACGGTATGCTCATTGGACCATTTATTCTCCCAAATCGATTGGACGGGATGCAATACCTAGACTTTTTACGCAACATTTTGCCTTCCTTGTTAGAAGATGTGCCATTAAGTGTAAGACAATCAATGTGGTTTCTGCACGATGCTCATATTTGTTACCTCTGTTCGTGGTCTGCACCACCGCCGGCGTCTGCTCGGTAGCGCATCAGCTGATTTCATTTTCTGTTGGAGCGGTATGATTTCGGGCAGAGACGTACTTAGCCCTTCTCGTCAACTGGAGGGTGAGTACTTTTTCCGTTATTTTTTTTTACTTGGTCGCCCTCGTTTCACTACACATTACCTTAGTTATTTCAAGGGTAGTTGTTTCTGAAAACGAAAACCCCAATTTTGCGGACACCCTGTATAGGTTCATGTTTCCGAAGGTTGAGCTGGAGTGTAAGGAATGAGCTTTTATAGAGTCTATTTCTTAAAATCAGATAGCACACTATGACCTTCCTCTTCTAGGTCATTCCATTCTTCTGTATAACCAAGCACAACGAGCATCTTTCACATCCATTCTCGTTTACCAAACACGATAAATTCTGAATGGTTCACCTAGTCCCACTTGATATGAAATTTGTACGCGTGCTATCTGAATACCGACCCGACAAATTTGGGCCACCTCGACGCGCGTCACAGGTCAAACATGGTTGTACAGGCGTCCAAACCGCTAGCAACGATTATTTGTTTATTCTATACACGATATGGGTTTAGATAATCAACAAATGACTACGTATTATAATAACTAGTAATATAGCTGTTGTTCGACAGACCACAAATTACAAAAAATGTTTATTTCGGTTTTAAATTTCATTTAAATTTTTGGATCGTCTTAAACAAAATGGTTCTCATTAAAATTTCTCTAAAGTTGACGATGATAAGCGATTCAACGTCTGAAAAAGTCTATAAAATGTACATTTACAATTCTTAAAAGCTCGGTCAGAAATTATAATTTTTGGGGTAACAAGGCTATAAATTAAAGTTCATATCTTCTCCTACAACACCCTGAAGAGCTGATTTCGCGGAAGTCCTTGACTTATCTCGTGACAATATAATCAATGTCATGCTAAGGATCCCGTTATTTCCTTCGGCGTGGAAGACCGCGGAGGTTATGATTCCAAAGAAGGTGGTTTCGATATTTCCCCAGAATCGTCGTCAAATATGGCTGCTATCTTCTCTATCTAAGCTCGCTGAAAAGGTGATTCTACGTCGCCTTGAGAATTTCTCGTCAGGTTAGCATGTGATTTCTGTACTCTCACTAGCGCCCCACGGTATGTCTCCAACGAGACCATTTACAGAGACCTCGTCATCCCCTACTTCAGGGACTACATCAAACAACAGGCGCAAGCGGAATCGCACAGCAACCCTCTCAAACTCGCAAACACACAAGACCATGGCTCGCACCGTGAACAAAATTAAATCGTGCAGTTCTAGTTCCAATTGCATTACAATTTTTTCACGCATACAAATTTTCAAATTAATTTTGGATCCATTTGAAACTACTGCTATGCTCCATTGTTTCTTGTTCCCTTCCTCCTCTCTGACTCCTTGAAGAAGTCATATATTCCAGATTTTGTACTTTAAGTAAAACACGAATTGTTCCGGTACCGTTAAGTCACTATAAATTTTCCCTTGAGTTTTCTACTCTGCTCTAAAGTACAAGACAACAAAATTACCTTCATACTGCGAGCCTCTATTTCTTCTTCGGTAATGAATTCATCTCTTACATTTTTTATCAAATTAGCCACTGACGCAATTGCTCGAAACTCCCAAATTGATTCATCAAATCAGCATTGTTTTACAAGATATATAATAAAGGTCTTTCGTGAAGCAAAGTGCGGAGCGTTGAACAGAAAAGGGCCAATTATCCCTCCGAAATTATTCAATTCCTTTCATGGGGACTGAATGCTAATGTAACGTCTTTTGACCTTTGACGGGTAACCGTTCGAGAAGCAGATAGCGGGAGAGGGTGTCACATTTTGGACTATGACGACGATCCTCTGAATTGCTATTGCTAGATTGTATGTCTACACTCTTAGCCCACTGATATGTTCAACAATAGATACCGTATTTAATATTGAAGGTAAAATAAGAAATTCTGTTCGCTTCCAGTCCGGCAGGGGTACTTCGTAACTTGAAAAGTGAAATTATGCCTATTTTGACATTATGTAGGTTTTCTTTATGACATCATGTAGGTTACTTGGAACAATCTGTCGTTCACTTTATGCTCACTTGTAGCAAGCGCGGAATCAACCATACAGGGTGGCCCATCCATGCGTGGACGGAATATTACTCATAGACAAATACATTTTGGGAAAATCTATTTATGGGATGTTATGCATGACGTTTGAGTGCAGATTTATGAAATATTGGTCATTTTACAGGGTGTCCCAATTTCTACCTACATACCAAAGTTGTAATTTTTCATTGGGAATGCCTCAAATTTAATTGCATATTTGGATAAACCAATTCAAAAGAAGAAAATTGATATGACATACTATGGCGTTTTGGTAAATAGCTACTGAGACATAAGGTGTTTGGTCTAGAAAAATGCCCCACTTCGGTACACACCTCAGCTTCTATCTTATTTGTTACTTTTACGAATTTTAATTTTTGCTCATACAGGGTGGACAAAAACGCAAATTGTAGTTTTTCTCAAAAATTTCAAATGCATCACCCTGTATATTTCTGCAAGTTTGGATTCAATTATTATAAGCTTGTTTTGGTACTATATACATAAGGGTTTTTACGGCTACTTTTTCGGTTATTAGCACGTCTTTTATGGAACTGCTTAATTCCCTAAAATATCGCATCATCCTTGGAAACAAATAAATTGTTGATTAGTTACAAACTGTCAAGTTTAGCTTTGTGAGCATTATAATAAAAACGTGTTTGAAAATGAGTTTTTCTAAAGAAGAAATGGTGAATATGGTGTTTGTTTTGGGCGAAGCCCAAAGAAATAGTATCCTAGCATCTCGCATTTATAAGCAACGGTACCCTATAATATGCGACATCCAACGCCGGATACAGTTTTCACACTACGAGAACATTTTGAATCTAGTGGAGCAGCGGAATATAGTAAAAAATTCATAAACAATCCAAGTGTAACCAATGAGGCGAATCAGTTGGAGGTTCTATTAAAGTTGCAGGAAAATCCTCATTCAAGTGCACGGCAAATCGGAGCAGAAACTGATATATGCAGAACTTCTGTCCAAAGGATTATTCACAAGCATAGGTATCATCCATATCACCTATGCTTGCATTAAGGCCTTCGTCCTCAGGATTTCGCAGCTCGAATGGAGTTTAGTAGAATAGTGGTAAATAAAGTGAGTGAAGACACTACTTTCCTATATATGGTTCTTTTTAGCGATGAGGCAACTTTTAACAACATAGGTGTTGTCAACAGGCATAACATGTAATATTATGCGACGGAAAACCCTTACTGGGTTAGGCAAATAGATTTCCAAAATAAATGGAGCTTGACTGTTTGGGGAGGGGTTATTGGCAGACAAGTTGTCGGGCCTTTCTTTTTAACGACAACAGATTAACAGGTACAAAATACTTGATTTTTTTTGCAAACTCGGATGCATATCTACTTCCAATATGATAATCGTGTGCGTAACTATTTGGACACCTGGAGTAACAATCGTTGGATCGGTCGTGATGGGTCTATATCTTGACCTCCTAGATCACCAGATTTGACACCGATGGACTTCTTTCTATGGGGCTACGTTAAGCAAGAGGTTTATAGATATCCACCATCTACCCCGGAAAATATGAAGGAAAGGATTAAGGATGCTTTTCTGAACATAAGGGAACACATGCTGAGGGATGTGCAACGATCATTTATCCAAAGACTACGGCTGCATATTCAACATGGTGGGGATATTTTCGACCGGTTTTTGTAGATTAGGTCTGAAGTAGTGATAGTTGTTTGTTTATGTTGTTATAGTTGTTTTTCTGTATTACGCATGAAGCTGATTTATACTGTTCTGATTGTTATTAGCTTTTACGTCAAATCTTTACTCTTAGTGGCAATATGGAACTAGCTCAGTGTTTGTATTTTGTTTCCATGGATGATGTGATTTTTTTCCTTAATTTTGGTGTGTTGTTCTAATAAAAGCTTAATAACTCAAAATCTAGTGATTTTATCTGCATCAAACCTGATACCAAAAAAGAGCTAATAAAAAATTGAATCCAAACTTGCACAAATAGACAGGGTGGTGCATTTGAAAGTTTTGAGAAAAAGTATGAATTCGTGTTTTTCACCACCCTGTATGAGCAAAAATGAAAATTCGAAAAACTAACAAATAAGATAAAAGTAGTTAGAAAATCGACCTATTATTTCTCTCATTTTCATTGGTCCATTTAAATAACTGACCGTTTTTTGTGGAATGATAAAAATTTTAAATTCTATAAAAGTTATCCTAATTCCAAAGCACAAAGTCATAATATTACATCTATAATGTACCCTTATTTATAAAGCACCCGTTTTTTCACGACTTTATTCAACATTTCAACAGAAATCACTGGTATTCAGAGAGCTTTAACAGCTTGCCTCAAATTGCATTTCGATAAGGTCTTTTCCTATTAGTCCAACTGACCGTCAAATATTAATGTTGGATAAATTGGCCCTAAACCTAGTATGGCTCTCTGGTACAAATATATGTAATACACTTATATGCATTTAACACGTTTAACGCGTTATGTCCTATTTTAGGCAAATGTAACCTGATGATAGATGGCAAAGACCTTCTTGCAGTGTCCAAAATTGCAACAGCCTGTGAAAGATCATACAAGACCGGCAGCATCGTCGAACTGAAATGGTCTCCCGAAGAACTACCTCAGCAACAATGAGACTGTTAAACAAGACTGTATATGAAACGACTTTAATAAAATTGTTGTTGATCATTTTATCTCCGTTTATTTAAATATATCGTTCAATACACTTGGTGACAAAGAAAACAGAACCCACAATAATAATGTATATGTCTAGGGCATGAAGTAGCTCAATAATAATACGGGAAATTCATATAGACATACATCCTAAAATGTTCACTTATCTAGATACAGGGCTTTGACGTTATAATTCAGATATCAAAAGGAATAATATCCTTGGCGTGAATTAATATATCGACTTAAAATTTAAAAAGATGAAAGAAATCATATATACCACTGACCTTTTAGAAAAATCTATGGCATTTTTGGATGAAAGATTTAATTTTGCATGAATCTCCTTTCATGGAACAATTTGGCCACTTGGCAAAAAATGATTCCATTAGTATTTGAGGTGAAATCCGTATAAAAAACTTCAGCCGACTTCGAAAATACGGTGAAGTTAATGAGATTTGTGATTAAATATTGTATGTAGTGCATTATGAGAGTAATTCTGTCGTACCATAGCATTGTTTGGATGACATTCTTGTTTTGTCCTTATTCCGTATTTTCAGCGGCGTTGAAATTTACAACATCCTGTATCTTGGTATTGGGATAATTCAGGGCAGACGCTTATAGGAGCCTTTTTGTCATGCTTGATGTACTTTCTGATTCAGAAGTATTGGCATCGTTTGTTAGTCACTCAGTATATACGAACAGCTTGTGATACGCTTTATTTATATCGACACAAAGCGGTATGTCGATAACAAACTGATGCTCTCACCGTTACGCCACTTGTATCACTACATACCTACATTTTGCTTACACCCAGCACTGAACAATTCTAATATGTTCATACTTATGACATAGTGTAGGGGATGCCACCGAATCTGCCAACTTACTGGCAGAGTCCTTTAGTGATGACTTCGTCGATGAGCCTAATGGAGACCTTCTACCGACCACTATCTGCCATAGGTGTCCCAACAGCCTTTGCAAAGTTGAGTTCCTGCCTGAAGATGTATTAATGCACCTGCGAAATCTGAAGACCTCTTCCTCCCCTGGTAAAGATGGGATGACGGCTGCTGTACTTAAAAACTGCGCTACAGCACTGGCCCTACCATTAAGCTTGATATTCACATCGCCTTTTAGATCTCATACCCTACCCTCATGCTGGCTTAGTGCTTCTGTTACCCCTGTATTCAAAAGGGCGACAAATCCTCCGCTAAAAGTTATCGACCAATAAGTCTCGTTCCTATCGCCGCCAAAATAGCTGAAGGAATCATATTAGATAAGCTCCTGTCATTTGCTTTCGAAAATGACCTTATCCCTAAGAATCAGCATGGATTTCTCCCTGGTCGATCAATAATGACCAACCTTCTCCACTCTCTCAACGATTGGACTCAGTATCTGGACACAAAGACTCCTGTTGATATAATCTACTTAGATTTTTCTAGGGCTTTCGATCGCGTACCACATAGAAGGCTTCTGTTTCAGTTGGAATGTATGGGAATAAGAGGCGAGTTGTTACTGTGGATTAAGGCTTTTCTCACCGGGAGGACTTTCTCTGTGCGCGTCAGTGATAGCCAGTCTCACCTTCATCATGTAGCAAGTGGAGTTCCTCAAGGCTCTGTCTTGGGGCCAGTGCTGTTCCTTCTGTATACAAGTGACCTGCCCGCATTGATTTCATCCACATGTTCAGCTTATGCCGACGACACCAAGATTTACAATACTGTCGTAAATTCTGCTATGCTTCAACGAGATCTTGATATTGTTTGTCAATGGTCAGTCAGTTGGCTTTTACCCTTAAATCTAACTAAGTGTTGTGTGCTTCACCTCGGGAAGACAAATCCGCGATTTACATACAAGATCTTTGACCACAACATCGAAGCAGTTTCCAGCCACACTGATCTGGGCGTTGTAGTCAACGATCGTCTTTCCTGGTCAGAGCATATTCACCACGTTACATCAAAAGCCAAGAAACTTCTATACATGCTAGAGAGGTCTTTCAAAGGATCCGAAGTCAACACTTGCGCCTACATTTACAAGGCATTCGTGAGGCCAATTCTTGAATTCGCTGGCCCGGTATGGGACACTGTGCTTCTGCGCGATAGAAATCTCGTCGAATCAGTACAGCGTCGAGCTACACGTATCCTTTTTGGAGCACGAAGACCAAGCTATGAAGATCGCCTTGAACTATTCAACCTGACCTCATTCTCTGAGCGAAGACTTCGTGGCGATCTTATAGTTACGTTCAGGATACTTCATGGTTTGATGGGCACCAACCTCATGCATCTATACCGTCTGTCGCGCAGCAATCTACGCGGACACAGCTTCAAACTGCATAAGGAGCCATTTAAAACAACAGTCCGACAGTGGTTTCTTCCCAACCGCATATTCAACACCTGGAATAGTTTACCTGAAAGTGTGGTTGGTGCTACTTCAGTTAATAGCTTCAAAGTGTAGTATGATAGCTGGAGGAGTGTACAAACTTTATAGCTATGAACTGTCTTTTTTTATTTTTTTCTATTTGATGTATTTGTGTTACGTGTCCGTACACTATATTTACTGCATGAGCTTATAGTACTGTGTACTCTGCTCATCTCAATTATCATAATAATAATAATAATAATAATAATGATAAACAAAGTGAACATGCACCCATATACTCTTACCACATGTTTCAAGCACACGGGGGTCAGCCATGGTTTAACTAGAAAATTGTACCGAATTGCTGATAATGAAGATGGTTATTTAAAAAATAGGATCAAAACTTCTCGTTACTTACAACATCCTACATACTTCACCTGACACTTCGCTACTACTACTGCTAGAGGTAGTGTTGGAAAAACTATATCAAGTATCAAAACATTTAAAACTTATCCTTTAGTTTTCATGCGAATAGAACTCCATGTTTTTCTGGTCAAAGAAAAGCACACCTGTAGAAGTTATTCTTTAGTGACGAAACTCTGACCGCCAAATGATGATACATATGTGTGGTTTCACTTAACCAGAAATACATGGAGCCATAACTATACCCATGACGCTTTTTAAGGTGTATTAATATCATACGTACAAAACTTAAGACAACTTTAGTTCGAGTAATGATACAATCTACTATGATGATGACATGCTGTATATCTGTAATTAGAGTTTTGCATCCGATGAAAAGCGTATAAGTAAATAAATGATGAAACGATTGATAATAACAATCCTAAAAGAATACTGACTCCAATTCTGATAATAATATTAATAACAATAATAAATTCAATAATAAAAATAATAAAACGTCTTTATTGGACAAAGTTTAGCATTAGCTATGCAACCACTTATCCTCTAAAACGTCTATCTCTCTTTTTGTTTTTAAGATTGATAACAAGCTGTGGCAGAAAGATAGACAAAAAATCTTGAAAAACTATTTAATACTGGAATGGCTTTCTATATAAACTTCTAAGTATTTGAAGGTAGGTAACGAAAATCTATTTTCTGCTAACAAAGTTCGATGGCAACAAAGTTGGCAAGATACCGAGACACAAAAGAAAAGAAATATTAGTTTCTCTCGGGTCATCACCCTTTAGCTCCTTCAGTAACTTTAATAACTTTTTGAAAGAAAGGGAAATTTGAGAAGCCGCAGTGCTAAAGAACTTCTGGAGATTATGGCAAGAATAATAAGATTTTCTTTCTGATAGATAATTTGTTCTGTGTTACTGTTAATGTACTTTTATCCATTCGACAGAGCAATGGAAATAGTTGATAGATTAGAAAAACATTCCAAACTTTATTGTATATTCTCCAATATAGGCATGGCTTAGTCGTAGACATGGATGTTTCGACCAGACCCAGGGCGCGAAGGGAATCTGTGGCCAAATTCAGTTATTCCCAAAGGTTAGAATCGTTGATTCTCGATGGGCAACGCCACTTTGGATGTTGCTATTATTCCAAACTTATAAATATAGTCTTTACTCAGTATGCTTAAAACAGTCATCTAAAGAAAGTTGTTTTTTCTGAAAGACTCACTTACTGAATATTACTTGCATCTGTTTTTTTTAAGAGGAAATGTAGAGCAAAAATATGTCTGGAGGTCTCACATTGCCGCTTTTGTGTGGGTGCTATTAAAAACTTGTATACTTGGTGTCAATTAACCTCTTATGACCAACCACAAATGGCAATTAACCAATGTGAAATTTTGAAATACGAGTATCCAACCAAGAATTATACATTTAGCGTTTTCCACCACTTGGTGAAATGGTTAAAAAATCAATTCTGATAAATTTGAGCACAATGAGAGACAAGATTTTTTTGGCGGTAAATATTTTGATTTTTAGATGGCAATGCTTTTAAGTTTCTGATGGCTAATGTGCCGGGCGCCATTGGACCGAATTGGAAGAATATGGAGGTACTTGCTATGGCAGCATCAGAGCATAAAACCTCATCAAAATACGATTAGGACTTTCTAATAAGTAAAAGAATACCGGCTATATTTGACAGAAAATCTGAAGAAAGCGACTGACATGGTCTTTCGTCATATACATATAATGCTTTTGAGAAAACCCACCTCGCTACTTATTTTTTTAACGGATTAGCAAGCTGAAATTCGGCATGATGAAGTTAATGCAGGTATACTGTATACTACATTTTAAAAAGGGAGGATTGAAAGTTTAGAATGGAGGTTACGTGGTACCTCATTTTTAGGTTCCTTGTTAACACTCCAAAAGCTTACTCCTCCTCATACTATTCTCAATCAGGGGCGGCCGTCCCTCAAGTTCTGCAGAGCTGCATAACTGCCAAAACTTTTGTCTTAACATAAAAAAGCAGTAGTAATTTGATCATTATTTATTTTCCATGTTATCACACAAATAGAAACAATATCAGCTTGCCCACGGAAGACACGGCGTCGAGTCTGTTTTGTACTAAGAAAGCATTATAATCGACCAATTGTGTACTTGTCATTTTCGTCGCAAACGCAGCGTAACATTATTCATGGGCCACTTGAAAAGGGTCTGTGCACTACTTCGACACAAGCCGCACGCGCTTGCTTTTGTCT